TGTCTTAGTAATGGGTTGTACTCGGATTATTACAATCATCAGGCCAAATCATTTCAAAATATACTACATGGCTCTTTCTGAAATATATTTCCAAATATTTACTTTCTTGGCTCTCTGAGTTAAAAAGGTTGCCGACCCCTGGGATGGGACATTACAATAGGCAGCTTTTGCGCCTTGCTGACCTGAACACCCTTGACCTAGTTTCCCTTCGCGTGCAAGACAGCCGCGACTGCTTTGAGGGACCACTTGAACACTCCTTGCTCCCCGGCTGAAGCAGCATAGGCCTCTGTACACCACATCCCCTCGAGCAATGCAACTCACTAATGGGACACACATGAACAGGCTCCGAAGTCACATAAAAGCAGCGGTTGTCCTTCTATTACAGAAAGCAAACAGATGATCTTATCTATCTTTACCAGATGCGAAAGTTCGACCAGATAAAACATGACATTTTACAAGGATTGCGCTTCTAAGATATGCTTCAGCGGCTCCTATCGCATCACCTCCGTGGAAATGCGAGAAAACTTCACAAGAAAATGTCTAGGCTAAAGCTCCCTTCAGAATTCGTCGCACAACAGTAAGTTGAACAATTAAATGGTTTTCCACAATCAGTCGTGAACGCGAAACTCCGCAGCTCTTCAAGAAACGCTTGGATAATTATATGTCCTTTTTTCCCCCTGACAGTCTGAATCCAAACTAATCACATGCCATTACCAGGCAGGAGTTATTTACAAAACTGATGCTACTTACATTTTGTGAATACTATTTTAATAGTGATAATACGCAAGAATCGCAGTGGTATATAACGTAACGCATACAAACAAAGGAATAACCTGGTACCCTCAGCAAATAAAGGCAAATAGACTGAAACTCACTGTCTCGCGTACAGAATAAATTGCCAAATAACAAATGGTGTATTAATGCTTACAAAAACCGTCATAAAATACCGGCAGGGCACCATGAGGTGCAGACGAGTCTTGCAAACTAGAGGCCGATAAAACAGTCCGACATTGTTTACAGCAGTCTACGGGCTGACCGTCCCCACTTTGATGCTGTTAAGATTGGACGAGAACTAGCGAGGATGCGGAACAAACAGAACATATACATTTTACGAAGGGACCGACTATCTCGGAAGTTTACTAGCAGGCGGGAGTGAGATCACATGTTCGTCTTTGCCGGTATGAAGTCCAGAAGACGAGCAAGGGGCAGCAGAGCTTCAGGGGCGGGAATCTTCTCC